TTGGAGCCATTTACCTCGTCCAGGATAACAGCCCCATCCACACGAGCAGTGTCATGAAGGCGAGATTTTGGCAGCAATCCGAGATTATGCTGTGCCACATCCTCTCAAATCGCCAGATTTCAATACCATTGAGAATGTTTGGGCAGCCTTGGGCAGAGACTTCCCCCTAGATCATACCTGCAATCGTCATAGCATCATTACTCAAGCATAGGACTGATTTAACTCTGCAGATGAACGCCTGTAGACGGCGGCGTTTCGTTATATCAGGTCGAGCTCACAGCACATTTTCCAACTGTTTTTGTCGTCGTATCATATTATTAAGTCAGAAAGAGTAAAGGTATATATATATATATATTTAACGAGTGTATACCATACACAGTTGCATTCAAATAATCTATCGCTTCTCTCCTCACATCGTCTTCTACGCTATCCGTCTTCTCACAAACAACACACGTTCCTATATATTAATTAAATGGATGGTCAGTGACTCTACTTGTTCACTTCTTTGCGAGATATAATCGTACCCACAGTTCGCCACATCTCCCCCTCCCTCGCCCCCCAGCCCACAAGCCATGGCCATTCGCTCGGCGAATAACGCGGTTGTCCGGACAGCACATACTCCATACTCCATGTAGCGGACAGCTGATCACTACAGCTACCCGTCCCTCTTTCTTCCCCCCCCTCTCCCCCCAACTAACTCACGAACCGTGCCCATTCCGCTTCCACTCCCTCACCCCCCACCTCCCTAACCCCTCACCCCCCACCTCCCTAACCCCTCAATCCTCCCCTCCCTAACCCCTCACTTCCCCCCCCTCCCTAACCCCTCACTTCCCCCCCCCCTCCCTAACCGCTCACTTCCCCCCCCTCCCTAACCCCTCCCTAACCCCTCCCTAACCCCGAGCGGCGCACAAAGCCCCCCGTCTCGTTATCTGTCCCCTTTCAAGCGCGCATGAATTCGAGTCAGACCTGAATGGCTAAATTGCCGAATATGCGCCCCATTCAGGTGCCCGTGTTCTAAGGGCCCCTCACCCCCCTGCTCGACCCCTCCCCCCCCTCCACGCCACCGCACCCGTCCCTTCATCGTCGTGGACTCCCCCCCCTCCCCCCCTTGCCCCTTCTCTTCCTTCACCTTCTGAGATTCTACTCCTTTCTCTCAACGTCTCTCGCCTCTCTCTCTCTCTTTTTTCTTTTGTTTTCTTCTTCTCTATGTCTTTCACTCCTTTTCGCTCCTCATCCTCTTTCGTGATCGTCTTTCCTTTCTCTCTCTCTCTCTCTTCCTCACATCTCTTTTTCTCTTAACAATCTCTCTTTCTCTTCCTTTCTCTCTTCCTTTTCGCCTGTCCTCCATCTCTCTCGCTCTCTCGTTCTTTTATTCAACTTTATTGTTCTTCTCCATTCTTCTTTACCCTTTTTATCTTTCCGCATTTATGCTTTCCTCCCTTCCTTTCTCTCCAGCCCATTTTTCAACCCTTCCCTCAAACTACTCTCTATTTCTTTCTCTCACTTCTCTGTCTGTCTGTCTGTCTGTCTCTCTTTCTATTTCTCTCTCTCTCTCTCTCTCTCTCTCTCTCTCTCTCTCTCTCTCTCTCTCTCTCTCTCTGTCTGTCTCTGTCTCTCTCTGTCTGTCTCTCTCTCTCTCTCTCTCTCTCTCTCTCTCTCTCTCTCTCTCTCTCTCTTTTTCTTTCTCTCTCTCTCTCTCTCTCTCTCTCTCTCTCTCTCTCTCTCTCTCTCTCTCTCTCTCTCTCTCTTTCTCGTTCTCTCTCTCTCCTTCCCTCCCTCTCCCCCCCCCCCCCCCTCTCTCTCTCTCTCTCTCTCTCTCTCTCTTTTTCTCGCTCTCTCACTCCCTCCTTCCCTTCACCCCCCCCTCTCTCTCTCTCTTTCTCTCTCTCTCTCTCTCTCTCTCTCTCTCTCTCTCTCTCATTCTCTCTCTCTCCTTCCCTCCCTCCACCCCCTCTCTTTCTCTCTCTCTCTCTCTTTCTCGTTCTTTCTCCCTACCTCCCTCCACCCCCCCCTCTCTCTCTCTCGAGCAAATTATCTTAGTTCAGTGCACACCAGAGATTATTAATGGTTTTGTTATCACTACTGAGGTTTCGGTGTAATCTCCGCTACTATGTCATTGTTATTATGGCTGCATTGTTATTATTGTTATTATTGATTTATCATCATCATCACCGTCATTATTATCGCCATTAATTTTGTTTTTATTTGTAGTCTTGTTTTCATTGTTATTTTCATTCTTTTTCTTTTCCCTTTTCTTATTCTTATTTGGATTATCAACAGGCCTACAATAGCAATAATAATACGGATTATAATGATAACAATGGTAGTGATAACAATAATAACAACAATAATATCATGTGTATATGATAATAATAATAGTAATAATAATGACAAGAATGATAGTGATAATAATATTAATGGGTGTAATAATAATAATGATGATAATAATGATAATAATAGTAATAATAATAATAACATCAATGATAATGATAACAGTTATAATAATGATCCTACTACTACTAATGATGATGATAATGATACTAATGATGATGATAAAGATACTAACTATAATGGTTATACTACTACTACTACTACTGCTGCTACTAGTACGACCACTGATGATAATACGATAGTAGTGCTTATACTACTGTTATTATTGTTGTTGCTGTTACTATTAATAGTATTGATATCATCTATATTGTTATCATCACTATTATTGTTATGATCGATTCATCAATTTCTTCTTCATCCATAAAATCGACTTCTGTTATCCTAATCCTCCTTATCATCATATCTCAACAATCCAGCAACAATACCAGCCAAATGTAATGACTACTTTCCTTTGCTAATTGAAACGAACTTACGGCGTTAGCTTCCTCTGCTGCGGTTGGTATCGACTTAGCATATAATACAACACAGCAATACAGAAAATACAATACAGGAAATACAATACAGTAATCCAGAATACAGTAAATACAATACAGTAAATGCAATACAGTGATGCAGAATACATTAATCCAGAACACAGTAAAGGGAAGCGTAAGTGTATCCGGGCTGGCAAACGGGAGGACACCATTGTCAACACGCGACCCGGTGGCGTTCCTTGTCCGGAAGCCGAGAAGGAACTGTGTTGAGGGAGATTTTTTTCTTTCATTTTCTTTTTTTTTGGGGGGTGGGGGGTGGGTGGGAAGGGGGAGATGGAGAGAGAGAGAGAAAGAGGAAGAGCGGGGCGAGAGATTGAGAGAGGGAGGGAAGGAGGGAGGGAGGGAGGGAGGGAGATAGATAGATAGATAGATAGAGAGCGAGATAGATAAATAGATAAAGAGAGAGAGAGAAGATGAGAGAGAGAGGATGAGAGAGAGAGGGTGAGAGAGAGAGGATGAAAGAGAGAGGATGAGAGAGAGAGAGAGAGAGAGAGAGAGAGAGAGAGAGAGAGAGAGAGAGAGAGAGAGAGAGAGAGAGAGAGAGAGAGAGAGAGACGCACTTAAATGTTCGGCATTCTATATAATCCTGAAGACGTGGCCTCACAGAATTTGAAGTGCGATTTAGATATAGATATAGATCACATACAGAAAGGACAGACTGAGCAAGAGCGAATGATTTTCCGAGCAAGAAAAATGATCAAAGCAAAGCAGAAACGTCAAGAAAAAATAAAGAAAGAGAAAAAAAATAGCATAGAAAGTGGAGATCAAACGAAAAGCAACAACGAAAATTGTAGAGATGAAATCAAACAACTGAATAAGTATCGGCCGTTAAAGATAGACTACGAAAACAATGTCATTCCGTGACAGTCATAAAAATATTTGATCGATGACGAAACGCGGAAACACAACAGCATTCTAGATGAATAGAGAAAATGGGGAGAGAGATAAAAGGAATGAAATTGGAGATAAACGAGGCAAAATCTAAAGAATGTTGAAATGGCCGGAAGATTGGAGGCATAAAAGTCAGCGATTGGATATGATATATATATGTAAATGTATACCATTACATACATACATATACATATATCTATCTATCTATCTATCTATCTATCTCTCTATATATATAACACACACACACACACACACACACACACACACACACACACACTCACACACACACACACACACACACACACACACACACACACACACACACACACACACACGCACACACACATGTATATATATATATATATATATATATATATATATATATATATATATATATATATATATATATATATATATATATATATATATAAATCATAGATTGGCACTACTACGTAATCATAAGCCACCGAAGAACAAAAAAAGTCTGTGACAAAAACAAATTCATTCAACATGTATGGATTTCAAGGATCGAGAATGTAAAACCCGAGAAAGATTTGAAGAGAGAACAGAAAAAAAGGATATTATAAAAAACAGATTAATTCTACACGTATGGATTTTACGGATCGAGAACACCGGAACAAAAAAAAAAAAAAAAGTCGAGAAAGATTTGCGGTTAAGATTTGAAGAGAAAGGTCGATGCGTAGTGAAGAGAAAAGAGAAAAAAAGCGACTAATTAAGAAAAGTCAGCGTCACCTTTGCTGGTTTCGAAAGCATCTGCGCCGCTGGCCTTAAACTTTACGGATTCAAAAACTGGATGGGTGTGCATGAAAGTTCAATTTAATTCAGTTTATTTTTTTTGTCATTCTTATTTATTACTATTATCTTTACTATTGTTATTATTATTATTATTATTATTATTATTATTATTATTATTATTATTATCATCATCATTATTATTACTATTATCATCGTCATTATTATTATTATTATTATTATTTTTATCATTGTCATTATTATCATTATTATCATCTTCAGTGTCCTTATTATTATATTATCATTATTATTATTATTATTGTTATCATTATTATTATTACTACAACTATCATTATCGTATGTGCATACGCACCACAAGTGGGCTGTGACGACGTGGAAAAGGAAGACTTCTGGAGAACAGTGAGCGAGGTCATGGTAAAGATCCCAAGAACTGAGAGAGTCTGGATTGGGGCAGATCTGAATGGACATGTGGGTGGTGGAGCGCAAGGATATGGAGACAACATCGGTAAATTTGGGTTTGGAACGAGGAACGAAGAAGGGCAGACCATCCTAGACTTTGTGGCGGCAAACAACCTGGCGGTCACAAACACCTATTTCAAGAAGAAGGACTCGAGGAAGATCACCTACACAAGTGGTGGTGTGAACTCCCAGGTGGACTATGTCATATGCAGGAGAAGTGAGCTGAAAAGAGTACAGGACTGCAAGGTGCTGCCAGGTGAAGCGGTTGCGAAGCAACACAAAGTGGTCATCTGTACAGCGACCATGAAGACAGAGACAAGGAAGAAACCGGACAGAACCAGGAAGACAAGATGGTGGAAACTGAATGAGCAGGAGCACAGGGAAAAGTTTGTGGAGAAGGTCAGGGAAGGTATGGAAGCACAGGCAGAGAAGACGTGGGCGGAGTCCAGCAGAGTGCTGACTGAGACGGCAAAGGAGGTCCTTGGCGTGACATCTGGAAAACCAGGAAAGAAGGAAGAGACATGGTGGTGGGGAGAGGAAGTCCAAGACGCAGTGAAAGAAAAGAAGGAGGCGAAGAAACAGAGAGATCTGAATAGATGTGAAGAGACAATCGAAAGGTACAAGGCGGCGAACAAAGCTGCGAAGAGAGCTGTTGCAAAAGCCAAATCGGAAGCGTACAAAGATCTATACGACAGTCTGAAGGACGACGAGGAAGGCCAAAGGAAAGCGATCCGGATTGCAAAACAGAAGAACCGAGAATCCCAAGATGTCTATCAGAGCAAGCAGATGAAAAACACAGACGGAGCGGTACTGACGGAAGAAAGCGATATCAAGGAAAGATGGAGGTCGTATTTTGAACAACTGATAAATGTGGAGAACGAAAGAATCGACAGAACCGTGGAAGCAAGAGCAGAGACTGAGGTAGAGGAGATAAGAGAAGAGGAGGTTGTGAAGGCTCTGAGGAAGATGAAGAACGGCAAGGCGACAGGACCGGACAACATCCCAGTGGAAGCATGGAGAGTACTGGGCCGAGCAGGCGTGAAAATACTCCTGGAAATCTTCACCGGAATTATGGAAAGTGAGAGAATGCCAGATGAGTGGAGAGACAGCACGCTAATACCGATATTCAAGAACAAGGGGGACATCCAGGAATGTGGTAACTACCGGGGCATCAAACTGATGTCACACACTCTGAAAATATGGGAAAGGATCATCGATGGAAGACTGAGGGCGATCGTGACGATTTCGGAGCAACAGTTCGGTTTCATGCCAGGCAGGTCCACGACAGACGCAATATTTGCGCTGAGACAACTGATGGAGAAATACAGAGAGGGTCAAAGGGAGCTGCACAGTGTCTTCATTGACCTGGAAAAAGCGTACGATAGAGTACCTAGATCGGAGGTGTGGAACTGCTTGAGGCTGAAAGAGGTGGACGAGAAGTATGTCAGGATAATCCAAGACATGTACGAAGGCACGACAACGAAGGTGAAGTCCATAGTGGGAACCACGGACAGTTTCCAAGTCAAAGTGGGATTGCACCAGGGATCCGCACTTAGCCCTTTCCTCTTTGCATTGGTCATAGACTGCCTGACGGTAGCAGTGCAGAGGACAGCACCATGGGATCTGATGTACGCAGACGATGTAGCACTCAATGGAGAGACGAATGAGGAGGTGGAAGAGAGGTTGGAACAGTGGAGAAAGGCAATGGAAGAGCGAGGCATGAAGGTTAGCAGACAGAAGACCGAGTACCTCTGCATGGGCGAACAAGAGCCAGAGAGAGAAGTGAGGATGCAGGGAGCGAAGCTAAACCGAGTCCAAGAATTCAAGTACCTGGGCTCCACGGTGCAGTGTGACGGAGGGTCGGATAAGGAAGTAGGGAAGAGGATCCAGGCGGGTTGGAACGCATGGAGGAAGATTACTGGAGTACTCTGTGACAGGAAGGTACCACCAAAGTTGAAGGGCAGACTCCACAAGACCATGGTCATGTTATACGGAATGGAAGCAGTGGCGGTGACGAAAGGCCAGGAGACAAAGATGAATGTGGCAGAAATGAGGATGCTAAGGATCGCGCTGGGGAAGACGAGGCGGGATAAAATCCGCAACACAACGATCAGAGAGACCATTGGAGTAGGAGAGCTCGGGGAGAAGCTGAGGGAGTGCAGACTCAGGTGGCTGGGACACGTGACAAGGAGAGAGGACGAGTACGTGGGCAAGAGGGTGAGGAGACTGGTGGTTGGGAGAAGAGGGAGGGGAAGACCGAGGAGGAGATGGGAGGATTGCATCAAGGAGGATATGGAGACGGCGGGAGTGACGGAGGGGGAGGCCCTGGATAGGGCAGAGTGGAGGAGGAAGATCCGCACCGGCGACCCCAGTTGAACTGGGACAAAAGCCTGTAGAAGAAGAAGACCATTATTGTTATTATTATTATTATTATTATTATTATTATTATTATTGTTATTATTGTCATCATTATTATTACTACTACTATCATTATTGTTATCATTATTATTATTATTATCATTACTATTGTTATCGTCATCAATATGATCATTATTATTACCATTATTACTATTATTCTTACTATCATAATTCATATTATTTATTGTTTATATTATTATCTTATCATTATCATTATTGTTATCATCATCATTATCATTATCTTTATCTTTATCATTATCATTATAATTATTATTATCATTATTATTATCATTATTATTATTATCACTATTGTTGTTGTTATTATTATTACTATTATTATTGCTATTATTGTCATTATGACAATGATTATTATTATCATTATTATTATTTTCATAATTACCATTGTTATTATTATCATTATCATTATCATGATTATCATTATTATAATCATTATGATCATAATCATCATTACCATTATCATTATCATTATCATTATTATCATTATTATTATTTTTTATCATTATCATTATCCTTATTATTATTATTATTATTATTATCATTATTATTTTGTTGTTATTATTTTTTTTATTACTGATACTATCATCATAATAACTATAATCATTATTATTATTTCTAATATCATTACCATTACCATTTCTTAAATCTCAGGTAGTTTGCAATAGCGAAAAAAGGTTCTCAATCCTCTTATACAAACATCTGCTAGTATTGTTTGGTTGAAAATTCAGATGATGATTATGAATGAAAACGATAATGAGTCAATAACACGAGTCTCGAAGCCGTAACTGAGATTCGAGGGGAATAAACCTAAAAGAAAAAAAAAAAAAAAAAATTGCAGCTTACTAACCAAATATTCATGAAGGAGAAGTACAGTTCATTTTCGGGAAAAGATTTTACGATACAAAGGCGCCGTCACTACTTACTTACTTGTGCCTGGTGGTGAGGTGGACGTCAGAATAGATCTCTAAAGCGCCATGATAGATTCAGCGTTCTTGAAGTTCTTGAATGTGTTGTGACTTTAATCTATGCGTATTGTATTGTGACTTTTGGGTGTAATCCTAGGAATTGAGTTGTGTGATTCCGGTGATAACAGTGAAGGTTTTGCAAGCCTGAAATATACCATAAATGCAGTCATCAGATGTGAAGTCTAGATTTTCATATTGCCATTTGAAATCTAGAGACCAAAGCTTCCGCTCTGTGGCTTTTGTTGTAGTTTCGAAAGCAATCTTGCGACGGGATTTTAAACTTTCCCAAACTTTAAACCGCTTTTCTGACTTCTCCTGATTTTTTTTTTTGGGGGGGGAGGGGGAGCGCGAAAGAACATATCTATTCTAGGAATCTCATGATAAAAATAGCAGTGGGTTTAACGACAATAAAAAAATGGCAATTCGAAACTAACGACCGCACATACAAGCAGATAAAAAAGGGATGAAAGTTAAAGATTCTACATGAAACAGAACCGAAAGAAAAGACGAACTAATAAGGAATATAATTTGGGATAAATCTTTAAAGCAGAGAATCTTAACCTGGGTCCATGGGTGGGTTTCAGGGGGGGGGGGGGCTGTGAGGATCAGATAAGGATTAACATTTATACTTTATTCATTCATATTCATATTCATTTATTTATTTATATCTATAGTTATGTTCATTTATATTTATTTATTTCAAGCTTTATATTCATGTCTTTTGTAAGTTGTTTACTTAAAAGTTTAATAATAATTTACATACCTTATATATACACGAGACAATCAAACCTCGGTAATTAAAGTACATTATACACATCAGCATGCAAAGTTGTATTCATGTAAATATTTCTGATCAAGGGGTTCATAGCGTTTATCATATTCATAAAGGGGCTCGTGACTCTAAAAAGATTCAGAACCACTGCTTCAGAAGAAAGACCGAAGAACGTAATTACAAGACTATTGCACGGATTAATTACCATAGGAAGAAGAGATAGACACATATAACAAAGTAAAGTTTATAGCGAAAAGACATGTGATAATGATAGAGAAATTAAGAAAAAGAGAGAGAGACAAAGTGGTCATAGAAGAACAGCAATAAAACTGATAACAATAGCAATAGTAATAACATTGATATAAGAAAATTATAACAGTAAGGATATTACTAATAATAACAATGATAAGAATGGTCATGATACAACTACTACTACTGCTAATAATGGCAAATAATGACTAATACTAATAAAATTGATAACAAGAACAATGATAATGAGGACAATGAAAATAATAATAAAAACAATAATGATAATAATGAAAATGATAATAATGACAGCAAAAATAAAAAGTGATAATGATAATAAAAGTAATAATGCTAATGATGATAATGAACAATGATCTTTATTATGATTATGATTACTATAGTTAGAATTGATTATGTTATTATCACTATCATTATAATAAATCATAATGATAATAATGATAGTAATATTTAAGACGAAGACTTACTGCAGCTCTACTCCCAAACGATAAACAGAATCGACTTCTATCACTTCAGAATCACAGGGTCGAGTTCTGTCGAGACTCTTGTCTTGTGGGAGTTTGTACCCCCCGTCCCCCCCCCTCCCCTCCTCTCCACCTCCCCTCCCCTCCCCTCCACCCCCCCTCCCCTCCACCCCGTTCTGGCCCACGCGAGAACTTTTCATTTTTCTTTTTTTTCTTTTCATTTTGTTTTGCTAATAGAGACGTGGAAACATGTCTTTATGGACGAATGCCACAGCGTCAACTTTTGTAGGGAGGCGAAGTTTCAGTACAAAGCAACGGAGAAAGACATGTATCGGGAAACGTTTTTTGAGAGACGGCGAAAACATTTTCTTCGAGTGACGCGCATTAGCCAATCTTTGACTCAGGGATAAAGCAGGGTTATTTGAAAGTATCATGCGTAAAGGACGTAAGGCAGACGCGGTAAATGAGGAATAGAGGACGCCGCAGAACCAGCAGAGGGGGGAGGGGGGAAGACGTCGTCAAAGCAGAAGACACACCGATGGGGCAGAAGGCATTAAATCTGGTATCAGGAGACAACGCGTGTGAAATGGAGGAAGAACAAGGAATACTGGGGATTGACATTATATATATATGTATATATATGAATGAATGTATATATATATATATATATATATATATATATATATATATATATATATATATATATACACACATATATATATGTGTGTGTGTGTGTGTGTGTGTGTGTGTGTGTGTGTGAGTGAGTGTGTGTGTGTGTGTGAGTGTACATATATGTATACATGTATGTATTTATGTATATATGTGCTTGTGTGTGCATGTGTGTATGTGTGAGTATGTGGAGAGATAGTTAGATATATAGCTTGAATAAAATACTGATAGACAGACACACACGCCCACACCCAGATACACCTAAATCATGTGTTGATTAACGAGCTTGAACTGGGGACAAAGAGAGGAGACTTTATGAAGAAAGTGACCGCCACTGCAAGATGAAAGCT